ACCATCTTTCATGCAGTGATTGGAAATGCTGTGTCTTGTCCCAGATCAATTTCTGATGGCTGAAGTTGGCAAAGAACTGCTTTGAGGTAGATGGCCACAGACCATTCAGCCTTAGGAGAGGGACTGCCTGGCATGGCCAGGCTCCACAGGGGCTGACATTCAGGTGTTCTTCTCTGCTTTGTTTCCTGGAGATTGTGTCTCAGTAAAGAGGAGGAATCACAGTGATGAGACTCACAGATAAGAGCTGCATCGTGCTAGAGAGAAAACCTCTGCTCATGCACAGCAAGTGAGGTTGGTGGATGGTGAGTCGCATGATACATGGAAACCATGTTCCCTCCCTGCTGCCCAGGAGGGCACAAGACAGCCAGCAGGCAGCAGGCAGCAGGAATGAATTTCTATTAGAGTCGCCATGTCCGTCCCCACCGTTACCACTGTTCTCTGTAGAAGTCCGTGAAAGGCAAGAGGGGCACCAAAAAGGTCCCCATCTCTTATAAACTGTGTCTGCGCTTGTGACTGTCATGCATTGTTTTGATGTTTGTGCAAATCCAGGGCCCCTCCAGGAGGCTGGGAGCACTGTGTGGGGCAGTCACGGTCACGCCAGGATGACAGGACTGGGTTACATCACACGAGCTGTCCTGCCGCTGCTCACAGGCAGCACAGTGATCCTGGGGTCTGCTGGCCAGGTTCTCCTGTGACTACTGGAGGCTGCTGCCGATGGTTGAGTGTTCTGTGTGGTTCTGCGAAGCAGTTCTTCAAGACTCACCATAGAATGTAATGCTCAGCTGCAGGTCATAATGTCCTGGCTCTAAGAAGCCAGAATCCAGATACTCAGCCAGTCTCTTCTAGGTGGTAGGTGCATTGGTGGCTGGCCTGGTTTACCCACATTGCCCCGTTGAATGGTGTTTGGTCCTCAGGAGATTCCTTATCTGGCCTGCTGCTGTACAGCAGGGAACATTTTCAAGGGTTTCTTTTTAGTGTCCAAGGTTGAGGTGCACAGGAGCTTAGTATATTCCAAGTCTCTTGCAAGTGGGCCTTCGTAAATGACCCGCACTTGTGACCAATGTCTGACACTGTGTTTCCATCTTTCTGTCCCCTGCAGTTGAAGGGAAAGGGATAGTGAGACCTATCAAGAATACCTGTTAAATGCCACTGTGTTCTAGACACCTCATTTGCATATTACCTCTTTAATCCTTGCAGCACTTCTGTGATGTAGTGACTGGGTTTGTCCGATCGTTGAGACAGGGTCTCATGTACCCTAGGCTGGCCTCAAATTCTCTATGTAGCCAAGGATGGCCTTGAACTTTTGATCCTGCTTCGTTACCACCCAAATGCTGGGATTACTGGTGTGTGTTGCTATGCTTGAAGAAAGACTGTTAAGATCCCATTTTACCCTTAAGGTTCTCAGATAAGGTCAATAAACAGCATCCTCAGGTGGAAAGCTGGGACTGGAGGCCGGCACCTGACTTCAGAGCCTGCATCCTGTAAGTACTGAAACTGGATGTCTGCCTTGTGCTTGCTACCAGCCGTCCCTGGGGAAACGAGGCACAATTCCAGCTTATAGTTTGCAAAGGCAGAAACCTGTCAAGGTTGCCTATGGCACGTGGCTGAGTGGGTCTTGAACTTAGGACTGCTGGCCCCAGAGCCTATTGGTAGCAGCTTGCCATGGATTTTTTGTCCCTGGAATGGAAGCTCCTAGGATTCACACCTGAACTTCCTCTTGCTCTTTACATCTGCTCACCAGGACAGTCTCCATCATTGTGGGTGATAGAGCTCTGAGGTCCTGGGAATTCTGAAGGGACTGCCACAATCTCTTTCCTGCTCTGTGCTACTGACTGTCCTAGACAGGAGGCTGTGAGACTAGAAGCAAGGCTTGCTGGGCAGAGGCGTGTAACTTCACAGAAAGTGCTATTATTGCCATTGGTTTTCTGTATGTGTGTGTTATTTATTCATTTAGAGTTAGCATGTAACGTAATGAGTTTTATTGTGCTATTTTCATAATTACATGTCATTATACTTTCCCCTTTTATTTCCTCCCCATCTCCCTTTGCTGGTCTCCTTCCTCGACTTAAACAGTCCTTCCTGCTTTCTAGCCACACACATGTACTGTATTACCTTCTTACCACAGCTTCTCTTTTCCTTCCCTCTCTTCATCTGCCTTTTTCCATCACACACACACCCAGACACAGACACGTATACAGACACACACACAGACAGGCACACACACAGAAACAGACACACAGGCACACACATATAGAAACATAATACACAGACACAGATGCGCGCGCGCACACACACACACACACACACACACACATACACACACTCAAATCTAGATTCCACATAGAAGAGAAAGCATGTGACAGTTGCCTTTCGGAGCTTTGCTGTTGGTTTTAGAAGTGTGGAAGGTTGGGTCCACTCACTTTTCTGGATCAAATTCAAACACGTTGGTTAAACATGCAGTAAGAAGGGATCCCAGGCACCGAGGTGTGCAGCATGGTCTGTATTCTGTCAGCATCCGTGTGCACAAGGGAAGAGCAAGGCGACTCACATCTACCTGTAGCTGCTGCAGGGCAAGGGGTCTCAGGAAGCTTTTCAAAAGAGGCTACCAGGGCCAGCGGGGGATTTCATATGAAGAGAGATAGATTCTGACCAGGAACTCTGTGAGATAACATATGTGTAATAACTTCCATCTCAGAGGGAAGTCTGACCACTGGTTGGGTAGCAGTGGTATAGTCAGGATTATCTGGAGACCACTCAGTTGGCCTCTGGCCAGACAGACACTGTCACTGTGGCTGAGCTAGGGATGGTGTTTGTACACAGATGCCCAAGGGGCGTGCTCATGTGGATGAGCTGTACCCTCTGGGAGGGGAGGGGTGGAGCAGAATGGAAAGACTGAGGGCTTGCCTGTGTGACAACACCTGCCCTGCCTAGTCCAGGCCACTCGTTCCTGAGTACAGTGGTGGTGGAGGTGTCCTTGCTGTCATCTGCTGCACTCTGGTCCCAGCTTGGGTACAGCAGTGCAGTTCATGAGTGTAAACCAGATGTGTTACTGCAGAGCTGGAGAAGGGCAGACAGACTACTGGCAAACACGCAGGATCTTGCTTTAGGAGATTTTGTGCCTTCCAGCCCTGGATGGCGACTGTGAGCATTCGTTCCTTTGCTCATCAGTGGTTCTGGCCAGCTAAGAACTCTAGTGAGGAAGAAAGCCTAGAGGAAAATTCAGAATCCTTGCAGGTCCTGGAGTAGAGAAATAATGAAGCCTGTGTCCGCTGTGCCCACAGCACTGGCCTGGCTTGCCTGAAGACTGAGCCTAGAGTGCTTTATTCTCCCAGCTGCTGGTAGAACAATTAATTTGGTTGGTTTTATTTTTCTTCATAGCCACAGTGACCTGGGGATAAATCACTTGCTTTGCTTTTCCTCTAAAGATTATCAATTAGAATAAATTTCTGCATCCTAGCAGCAGGTCTTTCTGGACTTCCTGCTATAGCCTGTGAGAAGTACCCTCAAAGACACTCTTTCTCAGTCTCCTCTGATCCTCCTGGCTTCCAGGGGGGTGAGAAGGATGCTGCTCCCTCATTTCTGGAGGAAGGGCACGGAGAGAGGCTGAGACTCTGGTGTGCGGCTCTGAGCAGGGACCCTAGCGATCAGGGACATTCCACTGAGTTGGCTTCATGTAGGCTTGTGATGGCCGTTGTTACTCTTCATTAGGATCCTCCCTTGGGCCAGGTGGGAGCCTGCCTCTTTCCTTGGGAAGGTATTTGAACTTCATCTGTTCTTGGTAGATGAATGAGTAGTTGAATGTATGAGCCCTGGGTCATTTTGTTTGCAGGCAGAGCATGGCTAGGTGTTCAATGACCCAGTTCTGCCTGTTTTCTGCCCTAGGCCTTCTCCTAACATCTCCTTTCCGTCTCTCAGGGGTCCTGTACCTCAGATTGACAACCTTCTTATTTCTAGCCTCACCCTCTTCCTAGAGGGTCATTCCTTATAAGAATCTCTAGTTCTTCTTAATAAATTTTATGGAAAGGTATTTCCTAATTATTATTATTTTTTTGTATTATGAAAGATTTTAAAATTGAGGGAATTTGCTAAGATCATCAATGCTTCTGGTCTTAAAACACAAAGCTGGCTATTGAACCTTTGGGCACCCCTGTTGTAACCTCACCACTTGGATCCATGTAGGTGGTTCTGGACATAATGTAGACTCTTGGACATAGTTACAAACTACTACTAGGTGTGTGATTTGGGCCCTGCACTTCCTAGTAGCCACCATAAGGTGAAATCAAGTAAAGGAAACAGATAAAATAACTCTGTGATTTCTGGATCTTGAGATGCAGCTAAGATCTGGCCATGCCTTCTGCATGCGCACAGCACCAGTGGTTAAGCTTGATGGAGCTAGGAAGTGTGGATGCATATTGTCATTCCCTGTCCTCGCATGCTTTCCTGTGTGAAAGAGGCTGGAGGGGTGGCTCTCTCTCCCGAGTAATTGTGCAGTGTGCACTGTGTGTTGAATGTCGTCCTCTGTCGGCTGTCTGCTGCCTCAGAAGGCAGTGTGGGAGAGCCAGATGTTTATTGCATGGAGCCGAGTACTTCCTGATCTGCTGTCTGGGCTGATAAACAACTATAAGAGGAACAATTCAGTGTTCACCACAGACACTGTCCAGACACAAAGACTTGGGAAAGCACTCAGAGATTCCAAGCTGAGTGTGTTTTCCCAGGAACCTATCCTTCTTCCCAACACACATTAGCTCTCTTCTCACCTTTCCCTTCCGTCTGTGTGGATGAGAGTGACAGTGAACACACTGTGTGTCTGAGGCTGTAAAAGAATCCTTTCTAGGGAGCAGGGAGCTTACCTAGACAAGCCGTCTGTAACGGCATGTACTGTAGAGCGGCTGGGGACAGATGACCTACGGGAGCTTCTGCTCGTGTACTGCAGAGGGGATGGGGACGGATGGCTGACAGGATTGTCTGCTCATAGCGTCGCCTTTGCTTTTCTCCCTCAGATGAACTACGCCAAGCCATCGTGGCCATGATGAACAGAAAAGATGAACTGGAAGAAGAGAACGGGTACTGTGACATCATGGCTGCCTCTTTCTCTGACTTTCTGTCCCTAGCGGCAGAGCGAATGAATGGAGAGAATGGTGCTTTACTGCCAAGCTCCTTACCTTACTATTATTATTACTTTAAGTTCTTACGTGTGTGTGTGCTCGTGCACGCATGTGTTTGCGCGCGCATGTGGATGTGCAATGCAAGCCAGAAGAGGGGACTGGATGCCTTGGAGCAGGAATTGCAGGCAGTTTCAAGTTGTCTGACTTGGGTGCTGGGGTCTTAGCAGATTTCTTACTTCTCTGGACTAGACCACTTCAGTAGATCTGCTGTGGCTTGCATATAAGCAAGGGATCGAAGCTGCATTGCTGGCAACTTCCAACACAGGAATGTGGAGGAGCATCCTTTAATGACAGCTTTCACTGATGTCATTCACATACCCACAATGCAGTGGTTTGTGTATACTCTCAGATATGTGCAGCTATTGCCATGGCCAATTTTAGAATAGTTTTATCACTTCAGGAAGGAATGCCACACCACTTCTGTCCAGCTCCCTGCCCAAAGAATACTCTCGAAGTGACCTTTAACTGAGGGTATATTTTCTGTGTTCCACTCAAATTGGGGATTTCTGGGACAAGAGGACATCTGGATTCCTCTAATTTGTCCAAAACCCAGTGGTCATCTCCAAGAGGCCAAGTGCTTTCTTAAGCTTTTTCTTCTTCTTTATTGAGATCCAGTCTAGATACCACTAATTGCTACCATGTGAGTGTCTGAAGTTGACATTCTCTTACTAGAGTCTGTGTTGAGGCTGGGGTAGCCAGTGACAGGCTTGCCTGAGGTTATTCACAAAAGCCAGTGGACATGGGGAAACTGCCTGACTGAGGGAGGTGGTGCACAGGTTACCTCCTGTCCTTTACTGGTGAGAGCAGTCACAGTTTTCTCTTAGACCTTATTTTGGATCTAACTGACCAGCTGCCCGTCGTCCTTTGTAGAGCTGTACAAAGGCGAATAAGTTTGATTTCTAAAACAGCTGTGCACTTTCAGCTAGCATGCATTTTCCACAAACGGCTGCGGGCCCCTTCAAGGTTGGTTTCCTTGCTCTAGCTGGAGTGATGCTCTTGGAAGCAGCCATGGGTTTTGTCTCCCCTTGTGAAGAATGACAGCTACCGTATATCGACTGCTTCTTCACAGACAGGATGCACCAGGATGTTCCAGGAGGGGAATCTTCTCCAAGCTCCCAGTGAACACGGCAGGTCTTAGAGAGCTCAGTGGTGGGGTACTGTGGGGACTTGGCGTATTTGATACACCCTGATGTTCATGGCAGGCATCCTTTGGATGTGGTAAATACATCACAGTTGCTTTTCTAGAAACAGTCATTTAGGTGCAGTGAATCAGAACCATATTTGATTTACCTCAGTGTGGTAACCTGTGACCCTTCCTAGAACTGCTACCCCTGGTCATTTTCTGTGGATAAGAAATGTATATGTGAAAAAAACATAAATAAAAAAGAATAAAACTAAAAAAAAAGAAATGTATATGTGGGCTGGAGAGATGGCTCAGAGGTTAAGAGCACAGGCTGTTCTTCCAGAGGTCCTGAGTTCAATTCCCAGCAACCACATGGTGGCTCAAACCACCTGTAATGAGATCTGGTACCCTCCATGCCAGAATACTGTATATATAATAAATAAATAAATCTTTAAAAATGTTTAAAAAAAGAAATGTATATGTGAATGGGCATACCATAATGCTAAAAAGTATAGGAATATAAGATAATGTTGTACTAATATGCACTCCTTAGAATACCATACAAGCTGGCTTAGCATGTGCTGTGTCTAATATATACTCAATAGAATGCCATGTATTCCAGCTTATCATGGAGGCAGCTGTGGACTGCGAGTCCTGGTCTATTCTATGGGCAGCAGTGGAAACAGGATGAAATATCATGGAATCTGAGCAAGTGTTCTGTGTCTTTTTGCTGCAGAATATTCATTTGGCCTGTTTTGATACCCTTCCCTTTGTGAGATCTGTTCCCATTGGGTCAAAGCTTCCATTTAACACGCTGCACTCTGAATGGGGTGTCTTTAAAGTGCCTCCCTGGCATCTGCTGAGCTCCTGGTTTCCCCTTGATCTAAGCTGTCACAGGAGCAAGGTCCCCGAATCTGACCACAGGTGACTGCCCTGGGATGCAGTGCAGTTACCAGGCTCAGACTTGCTGTCTGCCAGCGTCCGTTTACGTAAGTTGGAGCTGCATTGTGGTCTGTGCGAGCCTGTGGGCAGCAATGAGGAGCTGCACTGTCCCCTGGGTGGGCTGGGTGAAGAGCCTCTGAACTGTGGGGCCCTCTCTTCCAGGTCACTGCGGAGTCTCCTTGATGGCGAGATGGAGCACTCGGCTGCACTCCGGCAAGAGGTGGATGCCCTGAAGAGGAGGGTGGCAGAGCAGCAGGAGCGCCATACCACAAAGGTCCAGGCGCTGGCAAGGTAGACGGGGCAAGGGACGGAGAGGCAAGCATGCGCAGCTACAGTTCTGCATTGTTTGTTTTTGAGAAATGGTCTTGCTCTGTATGCAGCCCAGATAGGCCTCAAAGTTGGAGTCCTCCTGCCTTAGCCTCTAAGTGCAGGGATTGCACGCATGTGCCTCTACACCTCACTCATATTTTTAGTTAAATGAAAATGGAGTGCCAAAGGAAATTACATTTATGCATTTTCATTTGATGTGCTTCTTTGAATGAACTACACATATGCATATGTTTCAAAATCAGGTTAACTGATGAGCATTCTCCTTTGTCCGCAGCTATGTTTGCTCCCTGTTGGCTTGACAGTTGCAGAGATGCTCTGTGTGCCCAAGGCAGATGTGTGCATGCATGTGTGTTCCTTCCCTCTACTGTATACCACTCTGCATCCTGGCAGGGTGCTGTGTGCATGTAACCAGGGTTACGTGTTCTGGTCCTACTGCACCAGGATTGGTTTAACCAGTCTGCCAGTAGCTGAATGTTAAGGAAGTTTTCAGTCTTTTGTGATACTCCCCAGTGTGTAACTTGAGTGCCTGCCATTGTGTTCTCACTTGAGTGCATTTGCTGGAACAAAGGGCAGGCAAGGGCAGGCTGTGCCCTTCACAGGTCCTGCACAGGCCCCACAGCCTTGTGGGAAATATAGCTCCCAGCTATGCTTCTAAGGGAGCAAAGTTTTGGGTCCCATAGTATCACAAGAGAAAAATTAGGCTTGTGGGTTATTTTTCAATCGTGTTTCTCTAACTACAAATACTATTGAGCCTATTTTTATTTAAGAGCCACTAATTAATTTTTTCTGTGATGTTGTTTATATCTTATTAAATAAACCATGATGAATTAAAAATCTCAACTCCTCTGAAAGCATCCAGTTTTGACTGAGTTTTTCTCCTGTGGACACACTTTTATCTATGCACGTACAGTTGGCACCTGTCACTTTTCATTTCAGCTCCTTCCTCCATTTTCATTATAGAGCAGACAGGAAATGGCAGTGCGGCTGCTTACATCACCACAGCAGACAGGAATCGGCAGTGCGGCTGCTTACATCACTGCAGCCGACAGGAAGCAAAGGGCTCACCCTGGTGCCTGAAGGGGGTGTCATCTTGAAGACCTACTTCTGTGTCCTAGGCTGGGTTTTCCAAAGGTTCTATACCCTCCTAAACATGTCCACACTTGGGAACCCAGTACTAAAACATGATACTGTGGGGGATGTTTCTGTCTTGTGGTTCTTTGGAACGCTTTGAATAAGGCCGGGGAAAAGCATGTACAGAGCCTATCCAGGCATCCAGAATTAGGTGCAGTGCTGTGGTGTGAGTGATTTTTATGCACCTGTAATTTGTCACAGTCGTGTGACCTGTCTACATTCCATTCCTTGAACTTATCCCCTTTGCATTCGAACAGCAGCTCCAGGGCAGTTGTTCTGAACCTGTGGGTCACAACCCCTTTCACAGGGGTTGCCTCAGACCATCAGAAAGCACAGATATTTACATGATGATTTTTAACAATAACAAAATTACAGTTATGAGGTAGTAAAGAAAATAATTTAATGGTTGGGGAGTCACCACAACATGAGGAACTGTATTAATGGGTCTCAGCTTTAGGAAGGCTGAGAACCACTGCTCTAGGCCATTGGAGCCAGGTCAGAGGCAGAGGTAGATTGGTTCCTAGTTGCACATTTCCTCACCTGGTCTCTCATCTCACCTGACCTCACTGGAGCTCTGCAGTGTAATGTTGGCTCTAAGGGCTTGAGTCTTCAGAGACACTGCTCTGAGCATCAGTAACAGGCGGGGCTTGTGTTAGGAAGTCAGCTTAGCTTCAACCCCTGGTTCCATCCTGGAGATGTGTTTCTGGGTGTGTGCTTCTCATCTGTGCTGATGTGGATGGAGGAGGAAGCTGTGGGATTCCAGGGGTCCTGGGGTGCTCCTCAAGCTGCTGTGCATGTGTTCCATACCAAGCGCTCTTCACTGTGGTGACCTAGGGAGGCTTTTATCCTACAAACGTTTTTAAATATGAGGCCTTCCCAGGCACACATGAAGAACTGTTTAAGGTATTTGGAGGTTGGCAGTTTGTAGGCAGAAGGACATCTGGAAAATGGATGAACACTCCAAAAAGGGACACAGTGGTGGCTGTGGTGGTGGCTGCGGTGGTGGCTGTAGTGGGCCTACTCAGTTATTCCTTGGGGATTAAGAGGGCTGTGTGGCACAGTCACTCTGGGATAGTGCCTGTCATAGGCTGAGACTCATGTATTTTCTGGGTCCCCTCCCCTAACCCCCAATGCTACTCCCCAGGTCAGGTGGCAGGATTTATAATGCAGGTGGTTTAGTGGTATAGGGGCCAGGATCTGGCATTGGACTTCATGAAAATCAGGGTGTGGTTTTGTTCCCTGCTAGTTACGTAGCTGTGGGTTAGTTTTAACCTCTCTTTCAGTTTTCTTAGTTGTAAAATGGGGAAAAGAAAACTTGAATGAATTATCAGATGTATAAAAAGAGAGACCATGGGGCTGGAGAGATAGTTCAGTGGTTAAAAGCACTGAATGCTCTTTCAGAGGACATGGGTTCAATTCCCAGTACCTGCATGACAGCTTACAGCTGTCTGTTATTCCTGTTCCAGGTGATCTGGCACCTTCACACAGGCATACATGCACATAAAATAAAAATAAATAAATCTTAAATAAAAAACGATGTATGAGAGAGAGGGAGAGAGAGACAGAGAGACAGACAGAGAGAGAGAGAGAGAGAGAAAGAGAGAGACTGAGACTATGACAGACCATTTTTGCTGGTTCAGTAAATACATTTCTCTGCCTCTGCTTCCATCAGTTACTGGACAGAGCATCTATGATGGCAATTAGGGGAGTCACCAACCTGCTTACAGTAGATGGCCAGTTCAGGCACCCTCTCCACCATTGCTAGGAGTCTTTGTTGGGGTCATTCTTATGGGTTCCTGGGGTTTCTCTCTAACCCCAAATGCGCCACCATCAAGAAACCTCCATCCCGCTTCTGACCCACCTCCCACACCCAGCCTGCCCAACCCTCTCCTCTAGTTCCCATCTCTCCATCCCCCCAACTCTGCTCCAGTTTACTTAGGGAATCTTTTCTAGTTCACCTTCCCAGGGAAATCCAGGCATCCCTCTTTGAGCCCTCCTTGTAATCTAGCTTCTCTGGGGCTGTAGATTGTAGGTTGGTTATCTTATACTTTACTCTTAATAACCACTTACGAGTGAGAACATACCCTGTTTGTCTTTCTGGGTCTGGGTTACCTCACTCAGGATGATTTTTTTGTAGTTCCATCCATTTGCCTGCAAATTTCATGAGGTCATCATTTTTTACAACTAAGTAGTACTCCATTTTATAAATGTACCACATTTATCTATTTCTCAGTTGAGGGGCATCTAGGTTGTTTCCAGGTTCTAGTTATTACGAATAATGCTGCTATGAACATAGTTGACAAGTGTCCTTGTGGTTTGCGTGTGCATCCTTTGGGTATATGCCTAAAATTGGTATAGCTGGATCTTGAGGCAGATTGATTCCCAATTTAATAAGAAAACACCATAACAATTTCTAAAGTGACTGTACAAGTTTGCACTCCCACCAGCAATGGAGGAGTGTTCCTCTTACTCCATATCCTCTCCAGCATAAGGTGTCATCAGTGTTTTAGGTCTTAGCCATTCTGACTGGTGTAAAATAGAACCTCAGAGTCATTTTCATTTGTATTTCCCTGATAACTAAGGATATTGAGCATTTCCTTAAGTGGTTTTCATCTATTTGAGATTCTTCTGTTGAAAATTCTCTGTTTAGATCTGCACCCCATTTTTAACTGGATTATTTGGTATTTTGATATTTAACTTCTTGAGTTTTGAGATCAGCCCTCTGTCAGATGTAGGATTGGTGAGGATCTTTTCCCACTTTGTAGGCTGTTGTTTTGTCTTGTTGACAGTGTCCTTTGAGTTATAGAAGTGTCTCAGTTTTAGGAGGTACCATTTATTAACCGTCGATCTCAGTGTCTGTGCTACTGGTATTATATTTAGGAAGTGGTCTCCTGTGTCAACATGTTCAAGGCTACTTCCCACTTTCTCTTCTACCAGGTTCAGTGTAACTGGATTTATGTTGAGGTCTTTAATCCATTTGGACTTGAGTGTTGTACATGGTGATAGATATGGATTATTTGCATTCTACATGTTGACATCCAGTCATGGCAGCACCATTTGTTGAAGATGCTTTCTTTTTTTCATTGTATAATTTTGGCTTCTTTGTAAAAAATCAGGTGTTCATAGGTATGTGGATTTATGTCAGGGTCTTCGATTAGATTCCATTAATCCATGTGTCTGTTTTTATTGCCAGATCTCCCATGCTCATGGATAGGTAGGACTAACATAGTAAAATGGCAATATTACCAAAAACAATCAACATATTCAATGCAATACTCATCAAAATCCCAATATGATTCTTCACAAACCTTGAAAAAAACAATACTCAACTTCATATGGTAAAACATAAAACCCAGGATAGCCAAAACAATCCTATATAATACGGAACTTATAGAGGGATCACCATCCCTGATTTCAAGTGCTACTATATATATATTTTATATGTATGACTATTTTGCTTTCATGTACATCTGAGTATCAAGTGCACCAAGTACATTCCTAGTGGGGGCCAGAAGAAGGTGTTGGATTGTCTCTAAAGCATTGCTTGAGAGCTGCTTCCTGTGTCCTCTGTGGACTCCCTCACCTCCTGTTGTCAGGACTTCTCTCCTGTTGTGCAAAAAGGTGAGACTGTTAGCTCTCAGACTTCCCACAGCCTGCTTCCACCTCCAGTTCTTCCTCCTTTGAGACGTTCAGTGGGGTGACACACAGTGGCCCCACCCCAGCGGTGCAGGGGACTACTTTTGAGCCTGTCCCTTCACCCATAACTTCTCAGATTTGTTCCCAAGAGATGTCAGCATGCGCTGGTAGACGACCAACTTGAGGGTTTGCTA